TGAATATACTATTTACTAACTTCTTATCATGCCAATAGTGTAGTTGTATCTCTTAACTAAAATCCAAGTTGGTTAAGACTCCTTAAAAGAAAAAAATACATAGAGATTAGGTAATGACAAAACTGTTCGTCATGAATAAAAAGCAGCGGTTAAATAGTTCAACAACAATTTGTAGCTCAGTTGTTTCAATGAATTTACAATTCTTGTTCTAGTATGACTTTTAGATTTTGTCTTGTTAAAAATTAAATTGGAGAGAGGTTCTGATTTTTTTCTAGTGCCTGTACTTTGTCAATGTTATCTTCTTTCATCATAGGCTTAATTACTACTCATTTCAGTGTGTCGTAAATCTAGAAAAATACTTTATATGTACAGCCTTCTATATAGTTCTCATTTCTCACTATTTTCTTTATAATATCGACCAGTCTTGGTTCGCATATCTCCTTTGAAACTAATTTCCTCGGTGAATTCCAGTATGAGTGTCTCGTGCTGTTTGGGACTCTCCATTTGGATATACCTGCATCCCAGACAGTGACGGCGTTTTCACTGAAACTCAACCTAGTGCCATCACTTCAGACGTTAAAGCATTATCCCTTAGGTTTCTGAGGTGATACTATCTACCTGCAACCCTCCATTGATATTTATTAATCGAATGCATCAACCTTAGTTTTTTGCTTTTGTGCTGCTTGATAGGACGCCTCGTAACGTCAGGATGAAAATAGTGGTAATTTCTCGGCATCCTTCAAAAAAGCCCATGTGCTGAGATGAGTCTGACTAATTCATTTACAAATATCAGCGTTGAGTTACAACTATAGTTAACTTTAAATGTTTTAACTTGAGAAAACTCTTGATCTTTTCCGTACACCTTGAAGTTAGTGAATGTTATTTTTTACATGATTTAGGCAGTATTTTGTTACCCTTTGGCATAGCTGGTAATAAGAGCACTACAGGAATTATTTTTTGATTATGAATTCAAATCAATCAGTTCTCAAATACGAAGCTATATCCCATATATGAAAATGTTACCTAATCAGATGGCTACCAATGTTTCGCAATCCAATATCGATTATACCCTTCGTCAAAAGACGACGTGAATCACTTTTTTAATGGTAAGAAATATTGTTCAAGATTAATATTATTACTCCCTTAGGGCTTCAATGACACATCTCCTTTTTATCTTGTTTTCTGAAGTTGTCTTTCAATGATTTCATAATTTTTCGTAAGCTTTCATCTGCTCCTTACACGATCTCCTCCATGTTACACTCGGACGCCCAACTCGTCGATTTTCATTTGGGTTCTACCTGAGAACCTGCTTGGAGTGTTAAGTCACTCAGCTGTCTCCTCAGCGTGTGTCCAATCCATCTCCATTTTCTTCGACATAAGTGTTAAAAACGGTGCTTTAAAACTATATTACAGTGTCTAACTTGTAATGGTAAATACAGCTAGTTGATATGAAGAGTTGGAAGGCAGTAACCTTAAATCAAAGTATTATAAACAATGGGCAGCAGTTTCTCTCGTTTGAGCCAAATGACCTGTTTGAGTATGAAATTTATTTTAATTGATAGTTAACACACACTCTGTGAACAGATACTCTGTACAGATTTGAAAATACTAAAAATTACGTCTTTTGTGTCATATTTAACAACTTTTAGATGCTCATTCCTGATGAATGAAATTAAATACAAATCGAGGAATATAGAGCTTCCAACTAACTGCTTTCTGTCATTCAGCATCAAAATAGTCTTTTCATCAAGATTTATTAAATTTAATCAGATATGTCTACACATAACTGACTGTTGGCACTTATGTATTTGAGATATAAGATCGAAGTATTTCCTTTCATAAATGCAGAACGCTTCATATTACTGACTAATTGACGTGAGTAGTTAGTCTGTACTTAGCAGCCAGAAAGAATTGATCTATACGGCTGACAGCCATTTCTCTTGTTCGAGATCGAGTTCATCAGCGGTGCGCTTAGCTTGACTCAACACAGAGAACCGAATTAGTTGAAAGACCTCAAATTCTAGTTAGCTACTTGGTAATGCGTTAAATTGAATTCATAATTCGCGATATGCAATTTACGCAGTTACTGATGGACTTTCACCGCAGTTTACTTTGGAAACCGAAATGTTCCAGATGACAATATGTAATCTTCCTGGTACCATTAAAGACAATCAAGAATTTAATTCCTTCCAATAAGATGTTTATCATCTTACTAGCAATAGGTACATTAAGTACTTATACAGAAAAGGAATTATCTGGTTTTAATTTTCTGCTGAAATGTATTTTTGACATTTTTGAGTCCTTATTTATTCAGTTAATAATTGCGCATAATTAAAAATATTTGAGAGATTTAAATTACGTTTTTTCGCAGTTTTTAAAATGATAAAACTGCAAGTGAAATGAATAAGATGCACAGTTCTATATTATTATCACTGAAAAATCCTGTACACTAATGTCTGGTGCGCTTAACTTTATACATTGGGAAGAAAATTATGATTAACAGGGGTATCTGACACTACAAAAGTAAAACTATACAGCAGCTGCAGTTTAAATATTATGTATTTTTCAGTAGGCACAGCCATATATATATTGGGTAATGCATGTGTCGACAAAAGTATATACTTTCATAGAAAAATCCTCGTAGACAATCAATCATACCCAAGGTTGTCAGAGAAGACCATTGTTTTCTTCTTAAAGCCCACCTGATTCTAAACTTATCTCTGAAAATGTTGTCTACAAAAAGATAAATATATTATTTATTTCAGTAACATACTACTGTGTCATGCTTGGTCACTTTTTCACTACTTTTGATCATGTTATTCGAAAGCATAGTTACACAGAGGTTAGTCAATAAATTGTGTTTTAAAATGACTGACAAATATTACACTGTACACACTACTACTGAAGTATGTAATGAACACCAACATAGTATATAAGGATTCGTATAAGCAGATGAAAACATTTAATAGAAACATTTAGATTTATTCAGTTCATGTAAGAAAATAAGGAGATCTACAGTATTTTATCTGTACATGTTCATCTTCTTAGTATTTACCAGTTTATGCTGTTTCCGTTCTTTGTTAGCTATATGTAAATATACTTGTCAAATGTGCTTGACTATTTGTACAGTTTTGTTTTAAATCCACTGAATTAAAAATTGCTTATGCTTTAAAATTCATTTAAAGACTGCTTACTATCGCCAATGATTTTCCTGATTGCAGTAGATTTCATAATGTGACAAACAGCGGGCAATGAGGAATTAGGCATATAATGAACTCACACAAAAAACTTGGAGGATATGGACTTCGCCGATGATATATGTCTGATTTCCCACAAACTGGAAGATATACAAGTGAAAAGCAACAAGTTGGCAGAAGAAGCATCAAAGATAGGACTTCAGGGAAACATAGAGAAAAGAGACGTGGGTGATGAAGATTCCTGGGCAACATCACCAACAGCAACAACAACAACTGACAACAATCAGCATAAATGGGAGGAACCTGAAAGAAACAACCTCTTTTACTTACCTGGGAAGCATCGTTTCAACTACAGGCGGAACTGACGAGGATATCAAAGCAAGAATCAGAAAAGCAAGACAAGCTTTCACTACTCTCAAGTCTGTGTGGAGGTCAACAGCACTCAGCATCAAAAATAAGATCCGGATTTTCAACTCCAATGTGAAGTCAGTCAGTGCTACTATACGGATCAGAGACTTGCACTGCACGTCATAAAGAGCATCTCAAACAAACTACAGACCTTCATTAACAGTTGTCTTCGCTCAATACTACTCAAGATCAGATGGCCGGCCAGAAAAGATCAGCAACAGAGATCTCTGGCAATAAGCGAACCAACACAGCAGGAACCGATTGTGAAACAAATAGGCAGGAAGAAATGGAGATGGATTGGCTGGTCATACTCTGAGGAAACCATCAAGTGACATCATTAGACAAGCCATTGCTCGAGTGGAACCCGAAAGGGAAGCGGCGAGTTGGTCGTCAGTGTGAGGGTGACTTGGAGGAGGTCATGTGAAGAGGAGATGAAAACGTGTGGGCAGACTTGGAGCCAGGTGAATACTCTAGCAGAGAACCGAAGGCAATGGAGACGCACGGCTGAAGCCCTATGTTCCTCTAGGAATTAAAGGAAACAATAATAATAATATGCTTTAAAATTAGAGTGAAATACGAAAATGTCCAAGATAACAGATTTTTCAAGGTTACTAAGTATTTTCTCAACACTGTAAACCAAGAAGCATATCCAAATAAAATGTTTATCAAAAAACAGTTTAGTTTCTAAACACATTAGGAAAGCGGTCATAAAACTTTATTAGTCCTCATAACATTTTGTATGTAAATGACTAACGAAGTAGAGAAGGAAGACACTTCCATCCGCTGAATGTGTTCACCAGCAGCAAGTATAACAGACTAAAGAGTCCTCAGCCTAATTTAATATTTCATCTAGTCAAAAGTTGACTGAGTAAACAGCTCATTTACACGCCATACAAACAAGTTCGATTGATAAGTGAATCAGTATTATTACTGGCTTCTTTATAAAGACTTTGGATACTTTTATACATGAATAAAATGCTACAAAGATCATAGGTCAGTCAGGCAATAGTACATAATACTACACAGATGAGTTTCAAGCAACAGATTGATAGTGTCAAGTATTAATCACAATAATATTAAGTCTGATATTCATACGGTAGGTATTCTTCCTTAATAGATGTAGCATTAGCAAAGTTGCATACTACAGTAAAGTCAGACAATGTTAAGTGAAGTGACTTAGTGACAGATCTCACTCAGTAAATATTCTCTACGTATTTATAGTATTATTTTTACTACTTTTGTGTCGCTGAAGTCATGAGACATAACGACAGTTTCAAATGACTTTTCCTTAGGTAAAGAGATATAAAATATTTATCACCGATGGACTGTACTTCTACATTTTATTAAGCTAATTTAGCTCATCAAACAAATTTGAAAAAAAATCAGATAACTTACTTAACCTTAGGCCACCTCTTCTTAATGTTGAGTTGACTGTGCTATCAACTAAACGTGTATATAACTGCAAAGACACTTGTTTCAATACTCAGTGTACAAGTTATTTTCAATTACAAAATGTCCCTTAAAGGTTAAGTGGACTGTATTTCACCAACAGTGGCTTTATACCTATTTATACACATATTATACCTACTTTTGTGAACAAACATACATACATGTGATGGGAACAAAGTACTGGACAGTCAACTTATTAAACAACCAATCAACTATCGTTAAAGAAAGTGAATTTTTATTCATAGTAAAAGGAATAATCTAGTCTCATCTAAGTCCCATCATATTTCTAATAATAATAACAATGATAATTAATAATTTCAAAGACGGACACAAAATACTAAAAAGAACCAAGCTGAGATACTTCAGAAGGGAGAGCTGGATAACAGAGCTAAAGTGTAATAATAAGTACAAATGAATTTTTGTGCAAAGCACCCACTTTATTAAACAATGATATTCCTTAAACAGAAATGTAGCTATTGTCTATTTTCCTATTAAGTAATGATTTATTCTGGTTAAGAATATAAGCAACCCCAGTCCAGTACTAAGACTCATATGTTCACTGGATGGTATTCTATAAACAACTTTTTTTCGCATACTGCACTGAATGCTTCAACCGATAGGATTAGTTTTCAAGCGAGTTAATGGGTTTAAATTCCACTTCAATCCCTACTTTGTTAGGAATTCTACGTAAAGTTTCAAAACATCCATATTTATTTAGCAGCATACAGAATATTTTCAATCCCCTCTTCCTGATACTCATGTAGCTATGGATGTGATTCGTGCTTTTGTCACACCCAACGTTAATTTTTTATCTCCGTAACCTTTTATGTATCTTTGAATAAACGTATCAGGATACTTACTTAGCACTGAGGATTCTTTTATAAGTCTTACTTCCAGTAGTAGATTTCTTGTTTCACTCATCACTTGTCTTACCCCAGTAATTAGCGTATTTATAATCCTATTTCTGCGGATATATTTTGCAAGGACTTCAAGTACAAATTCAGAACCGAACGTTTAGATTTCCCGTAAATACTGGTGGCCGATCTACTATTCAAGATGAATAAAGTGACAAGAAACAGAACTATAAACTCCAACTTTCAAAGTTATTGATATGATAATTAACTAGGTGCAAAATGTCACCCAGTTTGTGTGTGTGTGTGTAGGTGGGTGCAGTATGCGTATCGAATAAACTAATACTGACGGTTCAAAATTTACTGCATTAAAGCAAACTTAGTTTGAATACACATTAACCTGTCAGTGTAAGGAAAGGTCTACTGTGAATTTCTCTAATCGCTGTATCTTATTCATGGATAAGTGTATCACAGAAACATAAATAAATAAATGACGTGGAAACTTCTTCTCTAAACTAGTAACATTTAATTATTCTTCAATCAAACATATTTCGAAGTATTTTCATATTGATTTCTGAAAGTGTTACTTTTCAGCATTCCTCTGGAATTCATTTATCTCTCTCACTTCATTCAACGTTAAAAGAAGAAAAAAGCGTCTCAGAAAAAATTATACGCTTTCTCAGATATTTTTGAAAAGAATGAACACCTGAAAATCAACAAATATATGTAATCATCAAAGTGTATTCAGGGAATTAAATTTTTTTTTAATTTGAAACCCTTTTATCGGCTTACGCTTAAGACCTGAGTGTAAATAGCGGGGAAAAAATAAATGAACGATGTGTTCTAGACGGAAAGTCACGTTATATTATTTTCCAAATTTTTTTGTTAGACAATGAGAATCATTGTGGTAGTTCATCTTAATAACCAGGTGTAACTGTGAACCAAATTCACCATTTGCAAATTATTCAGGAGTGTACACAGATTAACGCATGAAGTCTCACTAGAGTTTCCTACGGAAACCTAGCTAGTAAATATTACTTTTTGCAATTAATAGTGTTCTCTGAGCTGGTTGGTTTAGTTGCGGAGCTTTCGTCGTCCTTCTGGACAACATCTTCAGAGCAATTTTTAGCATAAAGTGAACTGATTTAAATTTTCCATGAGTGATAGAATTGCGTCTCCCGGTAACCATCTTTACATATGTATTGATCATTTTCTATTGACTTGGATTTTAAACTTTTTATCAGTTGGTATATTTGGTCTATATTAACATGTTTGTTAATTGCATATTCGTTTGAGTACCAGGCTTCTAGGAATTCCCTGGCACTTTTGGTGTTTCCTCTGTCTAAAATTTTGACATTATCCCAATCAAACTGATGTCCATAATTATCTATATGCATTGATATGAAAGAATATATATCATGTCTTTTCACAGCTGATTTGTGTTCCTGGATTCTGATTCGAAGGGGACGCCCACTTTGGCCGATGTAATGTCTGTAACAGTTCATACAATTTATTTTGTAAGTGGTATTAATTTTATCTCCTTTTTCTGTTGGATCTTATGGTTTGCATAATATCGAATTAAGCGATTTTACTGGTTTTTGTGCTATATCTATTTCTAACGGTTTCAGAATTCTAGCTGTTATTTCAGAGATATTCCTCATGTATGGTAGAATGAATTTTCTTGTGTTCTTTGATGATGGTTTCTTGCTGGTGTTAAGATTCGATTTTAAACACTTTCTGATGAAATTTTGTGGATAACCATTCTTTTTGAAGACCGTTTGTAGGTACTTTTCTTTCATTCTTTTCAACTCTGGAGTGCTACAGTGTGTCTGAACTCTTTTAATCAATGTCTGCACACAGTTTCGTTTGTGAGTAAATGGATTATTGCTAGTATAGTTGAGTATTTAATCTGTGTGCGTTGATTTTCTATAAACTTGTGTCTCTAAATCTCCTGTGTCGGTTCTCCTGATTAAGACATCTAAAAATGGGATTTTGTTATCTAATTCTTCTTCTCTTGTGAATTTGATGTTTTCAAATGTGTTGTTTATTAATTTATGAGTATATTCTAAATCACTTCTCTTAATTATTACAAATGAGTGGTATACAACTACTCATCTAAATCAATCAGTAGTACTTAGTTTTTATACATATAAGTACAGCCATAAATGTCTTAGGCCTGAAATATTAAAGATCTTGCTGTATGTGGATGTTTTTTTAAGTTTTTGCGTTCTCTGAGCCGTATATTTTATTGCGAAGATGTCACTATCCTCCTTAGTTATACCACTGACGTTAATTTCAAAGTAAAGGGAGCTTTGAGAACACCCCATAACTGAAGTTATCATCATATCTAATGCACTTGATTGTGACTAGTAGTCTCCGAAAGTTTTCTCACAATTTTATTCATCTATACTGGTATTGAATACTTTGTTGATTTAATAAGTGAGCATTTATTTATGTGATTTATTATCTATTGATTGACAGACTTGATCTCTATCAGCTTGTTTGGTAATTGTAAACTGATCTGAGTACTAGGCTTCTCTCGCGTTATTATTGTTCCCACTGTTATGAATGTCGACATTTTCATGGAAGAAGAAGTTCCTGTGGCTTAATGGTCTACGAGCTCACCTCGTTACCAGAAGTTCCTGAGGTCGAACCCTGGTGGGTGCGTCCTGAAGAGTCGCAAACTAGGACGAAGCAGTCATTCAGTACTCCCACGTTTTCTAATGGTCCTTAATCGATGTCACCTCATGATGAAATCCTCCAAATATTCATAATCATTCAAAAGTTATTTAAGATTGATAAAAATCCACCATATGAGTGTTAAAGTGGATAAAACGTGCCTCTAGTAATCGATTCCATTCTAAAAGCCGGTTATATCAACACAGATTTGGATCTGTAAATCAATCAACAGGAAGTTCTTGATGATTTCGATATACATATATGTACTCATTTAATGCTCGACATTTTCAAATTTGAACTATCTAACCGCCAATATTTTGATATCTTTTCTTTAGTGTTATTTTTTGTGTTCTGTTGGAAAACAAAGAAAATTCTAGAATTGGTTTTGTTTTAAATGTTTGACTCTTGTTACCATTGCATTAAAACCTATGTGGTAATTTTTTGACTTACTAAAGAAAATTTTTTCCTGGTTTTCTTCAAAGTTTTAAATATTCGACTATTAGTTTCATTAGATCGAAATGATCATTGTTATTGGTAAATAGGCTACTAATGCAAATGTCTCGATGATTTTCTTGATGTTACCCTGGTCTTGTTTGACAGATATTGGAGTCCAGAATGCATCAACGAAGTATTCGTTTTGTTAACTAATGCGCTGACGTTTTAATGAAAGCAAACAGAGGTGAACATATAATAACCATAGCACTTTAGGTGGCCTAATTGTCCCAGCAGCCTAACGCATAACACTTGAGCATTTGAAACAATGGGTGTTTGTTTCAACTGCTGGTGGTAACACCACCACTTATTAACATTCGATGGCACAGGGGTTAGGACTATCGCCGACCATGCATGTGGTCCGGGGTTTGATCCCCTGCCGACGCACAGCTGATATCAATGGTCGGCCTGCAGAATCTTTGGGCTACCGATATCATATGCTGAAAATTCCATACTTGTACCAAATATACTGTGTGGTTTCAGCCTATAATCAAAAAAATCTAGTTGACTAGTCAGAAACAGGAAAAAGCGGATGTTAGCTACTGTAATTCATTACTTGTAAAAAGGCGTGAGAAATATTTTTTCATTTTTTGATAATTGGAACATTTTGCACGTATGACAGCCTTCATATTGAAATAATGCTGCATTCAGGATATACGCACTTCTTGTGACTAGTGGAGAAACCAAAACATACCTAAATAATTCTTCTAAAAATACAGACTGAAGCAAAGGAATTGAGCACGTGTGTCATGAGCAATGATCCGTGTAAGCAGAAATGTGTGACATGTACAACCTTTGAAATAATTCACTGATGCATGACTAGAAAATATGCAGTACTACTGTGTAACATCTTGTCGCTAGTTATGAAGTTATTCAACACTTCAATCCATGTTTTCACGCTCCCAATCTATCTGTCGATGTCATTATCAGTTATGAATTGATACATAACAGTTTAAAGCATATTTCTTCTGATCAACCTTTTACAAAGTTTCTTTTAAAAAATGTAAGGAAACCCTGTTCTTGTCTTTTTTGTCTTTCGTTTTTACCTACTGATCGATTAAAGACTATTCACATTCAGTGGAGCCTCATAAAACTGAGGCAGTGAGTGTAAGTGTTTTATATGATGGCTCACAAACACCCTAATCATTAATTATAGGTAACTAATTGTTTAGTAAAAAAAAATGTTTAAGACTAAATGATTCGACAACCAGAAAATTTTTC